TTTTGTGTTCTGGGAATTTCACAACTTCACGGAGGCCATCACAAGACACGGCCCTTCCACTTCATAGCTCCAGAACTATACGCGGAAAGAAATTTCCTTTCTTACAACTTTCTCGGTCTGTGGCATTGTGCCCCTGGCAACCAATAAACAACAAATTCATGCAGATAGTAACAAATGCTAGTAGACTAGATTTCCAGGTACAGCTCACGAGACTTGACTGGAGAACCCTGGCACTCTGGCCCTACTTGTTTGCTCTGCGAGCATCTGCTGGAGGGAGCGGGTGTACTGTCAACAGGGCTCAGGTGAGATATTGCCAGTGGGGGAGGAAGGGACCATTTGAAAAAGGCTGCATCCAGGATTTCCCTTTCCCGGGTGGGCTTTTCCAGTGTGATTTTATTTATCAGGAGCAGACCCCAGCAGATGCTCTGTTGAGTCTCCCCCACGGAGCTCATGGTGTAGTAGGAATATGGCTGGCACAATGACTTCTGATAGCAGCTTGGATGCAGTCTCCTGCCTCACCCCATTTTAGGGATTAGGAGTGTGTAGCAAGGAGGGACTACTTGTTTGTTCCGGCCACCCAGAACCAAAATGACCACACAGAAACTATATTATTTAAAACACTGCTTGGCCCATAAACTCTAACTTCTTATTGGCTAACTCTTACATCTTAGTTTAAATCCATTGCTAGTAATCTGTGTATCGCCATGTGGCTGTGGCTTACCAGCAAGATTCCAGCTGGTGTCTGTCTCTGGCAGGGCTACATGGTTTCTCTCACAACTATCTGTAACTCTAGTTCCAGAAGCCCTTTTCTGGTTTGCTTGGGTACCGCACAAATGTGGTGCGCACACATACACATAAAATAGTTAAAAACAAACAAGTGAACAGATGCCCTTAAACATACTGAAAAGCACATTGGGGCCTGCTATGTGGTTCAGCAGGTAAAGGCACTTGCCACCAAGCCTGATGACCTAAGTTGAAGCCCTAGGTGCCCTGATGGGAGGGGATAATTGACTCTTTAAGGTTTCCTGTGACACACGTGCGTGCACACACACACAGACACACACACAGACACACGCATGCACTCACGCATGCACACACACACACACACTCACGCATGCACACACACATAGACACACACATACACTCATGCATGCATACACACACACACACATACACTCACGCATGCACACACACACATACACTCACGCATGCATACAAACACACACACATACACTCACGCATGCACACACACACAGACACACACATACACTCACGCATGCATACACACACACACATACACTCACGCATGCATACACAAACACACACACATACACTCACGCATGTACACACACAGACACACACATACACTCACGCATGCATACACACACACATACACTCACGCATGCATACACAAACACACACACATACACTCACGCATGCACACACAGACACACACATACACTCACGCATGCATACAAACACACACACATACACTCACGCATGCATACAAACACACACACACACACACACACACACACACCATAAATGAATGTAAAGAAGTTTTAGGAGACAAGTATATTAATTCAGGAACTTTGGAGCACTGTACATTAATTGGATCATAGTTTCAGGATTATAAAGACTAAAATAAGAAGTCTCAAACCTAGGGACTTTGTGGCAGGTGGTGCTACCGTGTGTCTCGGTTGTGTTCATTCTGAGACAGAGGAGGCAATTCCAGCTTCAGAAGGAGGCTGTTTTGCCACAGAGCAGGCTGAACTTGGGACAAGGTCACTGCTGCCTCCAAGCAGGACTGTTATCCAGGCCGAAAGAGTTAATCATAGCAAGCCTTAGCTGCAAACTGAGGATGCCGGTTAGGACTGGTGAGTATGGCCAGCTGATTCAGGCAAGACCAATGCAACTTCAAGGTCAGGTTACTGCAAACCGTGGTAAGCCTCTATTGCAACTATTCCCCTGCCCTAGGACACCGATTCACCACCTGGTCACCTGCAGACAACTTCCCGTCTCTAGGATCAGCTGCCTAGAAAACCTCTGTGGAGGAAGTTCCCCCACCATCTCATCCTCAGTGGCTTCTCTGAAGTATGTTTTAATGAACTTCATTTCTGCCTTCAGTCTTTGATGAATTCATTCACAGCCTACGTGCCACCAGCCCGTTAAATTCTACTCTTGATGCGGAATCAACTATTTTGTATAAATTAAGAAATATAACAAATCGATAAATGTATTAATGCTGGTAGAATGAGAGAATTCACTATGGTTAGAGAAAAAACACAGAGGAACGGGGAAGCCAGAACTGTAGTAAGGAGGCCGCTTATTTGTCCCGGCTGCCCAGAACCAAAATAATCACACAGAAACTGTATTAATTAAATCACTGCTTGGCTCATTAGCTCTAGCTTCTTATTTGCTAACTCTTATATATTAATTTAACCCATTTCTATTAACCTGTGTATTGCCAGGTTAATAGACTGACCTGGGTTTAGTTCCCAGCATCCACACAGCAGCTCACAAATGTCTGTGCTCCAGTTCTAGAGGATCTTTTGTCCTCTTGATGATCTTCATGGACACCAGGTATCCATGTGGTGCACAGACACACATAAACAAAAAACTCACACACATAAATTGAAAAAACAAATCTAAAAACAAAATAAATATCTTTGGTGGGGCTGGAGAGATGGCTCAGAGGTTAAGAGCATTAGCTGATCTTCCAGAGGTCCTGAGTTCAATTCCCAACAACCACATGGTGGCTCACGACCATCTGTATTGAGATCTGGTATACTCTTTTGGCATCTGTACAAATAAATAAATCTTAAAATCTGTGGTTAGAAGGCACATTGTTTGTGAGGTTAACACTGGTTGTCGCCTTGACAGATCTAGAATCAAGCCTGCTGGGACACCCATGAAGCATTCTCTAGATTAGGGTGCCTGTGAGGAATGTTCCTGGGTAGGGATACTGAAGTGGGAAGACTTACCCTGAAGGTGAGAAACACATTTCAGCATCAGTCCGGATACAAGGAGCCCCAAGGGAAAAACATTTTGCCTGCTTGCCTTAGCCTCTTGCTGGTGAGTGCTTCTGCCTCTGCTTCTAAGCGCCTTTGCTGGCACCAGAGCCCAGCTTCATTAGCTTTCCAACATGGACTTAAGACCATGTCTATAGAAGTCTTCCAGGCCTTTGGTGTTCTATTGGGACTGCTGAGGCATTCAGGCTGGTGGACTTTCTGTAGTTAAGACAGCCACTTTCGGACTACCCAGACCACAAGGTGGTTGAATAGATTCCCTTTTAATATACATTCATTATGTTGGCTCACTTTCTTTTTTTTTTTAAACTTTTTTTTATTTATTTACTTAACTTTATTATGTTTGTTGGTGTGAAGGTGTCAGATCTCATGGAACTGCATTTTCAGACAGTTGTGAGCTGCCATGTGGGTGCTGGGAATCGAACCCGGGTCCTCTGGAAGAGCAGTCAGTGCTCTTAACCGCTGAGCCATCTCTCCAGCCCCCTGTTGGCTCACTTTCTAAAGAGAACCCAACTATACTGTTTTATGTCACATGATACACTATAAAAAGGGAAAAGGACAATGTAAAAGGACTTTATGACGTTACAGTCTCCGAGTGCAATAGAAAGGGAGATGATGTGAGAACTGATGGGTGGGCTTTGTACTAGGGAGCAAGAAGCGCTGGAAGATAAAACATCCCCAGAACACAGGAACAACGTGAGGGGGCTCCCAACGGCCAGAGGTGGCAATCCGAGTACCAGAATTGTACTGGTATCTGGTTTTGGCAGTTGAATCAAGAACAAATCTAGTCCTCATACCGCACGACTCATAGCAAAGAGGAGGACGGTTGGAAAAGGAAGGATTAGAGAAGGCAGAGGCAGGTGCTTGCTCTGTAGACATGAATACCAGCCAGAAAATACAGAAAAAGGGTGTTAGAATTGCAAAGTAATACAGTTATTACTGGTGTGGGAAGAATTCATCAGTGTGTGCTGTATCCATTGGGTAGGGTATTGTTGGGGAGAAAATAGTCACCAGGTTTCAGCTTATCCTGGGTGGTATTTATCTCCACTGGCTTTGTTGAGGAGAGAGGAGCCTTGAGCAAGTGGTGGCTCTTTGCATCTTGGCCTGGTGGACAATTATGTCAAACTGGCCGGCCGTGTGCATGTCCGGAAGTGATGGGAGTACCTGCCTTTGTTCTAAATGTTTCTGACTGTAATCATGAGAAAAATAATCCCGTGAATCCAGAACATGACAAGACAATTGGTGTGGACCGCAAATATGCCAAAGTTAAGAAGAATTTAGAAAAGTTAGAGCACAGCTCACTAAGACGTTTAGGAGAGGTTAATTCAAACGCATTGGGCTAATTTTCAGTAGCTCCTGAATTTAATGTGTGCACGTGTCTACGACCTTTTGAGACAGCAAAGGAGATATAAACGTGGTAGTATATGGGATATGACCGAAAACGTGTTCAGTTTCGTTCCTTGTATGTGATAAGTGGCAACTTTTCAAGAGTTTGGTGTGGGAGGAATAGACAGTCAGAAAGAACGCAAGTGTTGCCAAATGCTAGCGTTTTGGTGACTCTGCGTAAAGGGTTCTCAGTTCACGTCTCAAATTATAAAGTTCAAGGGTAGAAATAGTAAGTGTAAGACGATGTCTTTGCGACGGCGGAGGCTCCAGGAGACACAGAGAAACGTCTCTGGAGAAGAGTTCTTTGGCTCTGTGACTTCCTGTTTTCTCTTACACAGACCGCAGGCTGTAAGGTGGTAGCGAGTGGTCTCCCTTAGTAAGAGCCTGAGATTCCCAGCCTAGCTTCTGCGGAGATCGCTCTTCCTGGACAGGGGCGACGGCAGGCGGGGGCGTGGCCTTGAGGGGCCGGTGTCGTCAGTGCCCAATGAGAACGCGATATGGGCGTGCCCGGCGAGATGTAGGAGGAGCCTCACCCTGGCTTGGGCCGCGCCCGCAGCTCAGCGGCCTTTTCTTCTGCTCCCGCCCCGCGTTGCTCCCAGGCGGCTGCACCGGCTTGGAGGAGTGGAAGGAGAAGCTCCGCCGCTGGGTGAGTTCCCGGCCACGCTGCTGCCTAGACGACCTAGCCGGAGAACCACTGTCGCGGGTTTGCACCGGGCTGAAGTGCGTTGGCGTACGCGGGCTGCGCTCGGTGGTCACGAGGCTTTCGGGCCGGGGCTCGCTCTTGGGTTCTGGTGGTTCTGCGGGGGCCGCCTGGGATGGCCGAGGGAGGTGTCCGGGAGGCTCAGCGGTTGCACCCTTGGCTGCGACACTTCCTCCCATCCGGTGGGCTGAGACGGTGCAGCCTCAGCACCCGTGAGTTCAGTACCGGGAAAGGGCTCACCACCCATTGAATTGCTGGTGGAGGACTGGCGATGTAACCCAGTGGTTGAGTTCTTTACTCAGGTCCCGGGTTCGATGTTCAGCGTTGCTAAATAGATGGATAATAAACAGTTCCATCTCCTTTAAGGCACACACACGTAGTTGCTTGTGGAACAAGCCAGGGTTGCTTCCCGGGTTCGCAAGAACCTGTCAAATGAATTGCTCGAGAAGTTATTAAAACGTGTTAATGCGTTTTAAAGTCTTTTTGGGTGTAATTTCAGGCTAAACACTCGCAATAGTCAGGATTCTTCTTGCCAAAGAATAGCACAATAATGCTGGAACGTCCTTGCAGATTCTACATTCGCAGATGCGTAGTGTAAAGGCATGAATTTTGATCTTGGCATTGGCGCTGCCAACTTGTAAACACGGGCTCAGTTAAACTCATGTGAATTGGTACCGGTTTCTAAAGTGTTCTTAAAACCCCATATTCCATATGTCTGTGCTGGATTTGTTTTTCTTTGTGAGCTTTTTTTGTTGTTGTTAAAAAGATTTATTTATTTTTATTTATGTGTTTGTGTGCGAGCTTATGTGCACCACATGTGTGCAGGAAGCCAGAGGGCATCAGATCTTTGGAACTGGAGTTTTGAGCAGGTGTTTTGATATGGATGCTGGGAATTGATCCCTGGTCCTCTGGAAGAGCAGCCAGTACTCTTAACCGTTGAGCCTTTCTCTCAGTTCCTCGCTGTGAGAATAGGGAACAGGAATTGCTTAAGAAAAGACAGTAACGGGAGAGATTTATGAGAACAGGAAAGGGTAGAGTATGTGATTACACTATAAGGCTGTAGACTGAAAGGACACACCAAAATGAAAATGATTTATAATTATATAAGAGAAACTTGGGAAGCAGCAAGTATCAACTTTTAAAAAATGAGCATACAAAGCAGTGAGTTTCTCGATGACGTCATTGCTCTCATTCATTCAGCTGCCCCCCACTCCCTCTCTCTGACTCCCTTTCTTCCCTAGCTAGAGCCCTTTTGCTTTCTTGTTTCCCATACTCCTTCACACTATTTCTTGTTTCCCTTAGGGTCTCTTCCTCCCCTCTCATGATCTTCTTTCTAGTATCATGAACTGTATACACACACATGTACACACAAACAAATACACATACAATTATAGAACTTGCAATATTTGTCTTTCTGGGTCTTGGATTTTGTTTAATATAGTGATTTCCAATTGTATGTATTTCCTGCAAATGGCATGATTATATATTTTCTATTGTGTGCGTAAAATTCCAAGGTATATGTGGATCACTCTTTTTTGTTTCCTTTTTCTTTTCTTTTCCACTTATTTTTGTTATGTTTAAGATAGGTTCTCACTGTATAGCTTTATCTGGCTTAGAACTTGACCAAGCTGGCCTTGAACTCAGAAATCCATCTGCCTCTGCCTCCCAAGGGCTTGGGACTAAAGGTGTGCACCTCGTGTCAGGCATGGGCCACATCTATATCCAAGTCATCTAATGGACTTCTAGATTGGTTCTATTTTCTGGCTATTGTAACAGAGTAGCAATGGCCACGAATGTGCATGTATCTCTGTGTTATGTTAATTTGGAGTCATTTGGGTATAGACCCATACTGAATTCCATAGTGGCTAGACAGATTTACATTTCTACCAGCAGGGAGTGAGATTTGCCCTTTAGATACATGCTCGCTAGCATTTGTTGTCTTTTTAAAGTTAATGTGTGCGTGTGCTGTGTGTGGTGTGTGTGTGTGTGGTGTGTGTGTGTGGTGTGTGTGTGCGCACATGGCCTCTCGTGTGAGAGAACCTATAGTGCAGGTGCAGAGTCGGACAATAACTTAGAATTCAGGTCTGCTGTAGCTCTCCAGGACTGAGCTCAGGTTCTCAGGCTCCATGATAAGGGCTTTCACCTACTAAGCCATCTTGCTGTCCTCATTTGTTCTCTTGAAGGCAGCCATTCTGTCTGAGATGGGACCTCAAAGCGGTTTTAGTTTGCTTTTGTTTTTGTTCTGTTTCTTTAAGACAGGTTCTCACTAGGTAGTTCAGGCTGTCCTGGAACTATGTAGACCAGGCTGGCCTTCAACTCACAAAGAACCACCTACCTGCCTCTGCCCCCAGAGTGCTGGAATTAAAGGGACCCATCTCAAAGCAGTTTTAATACCTGATGACTAAGATGTTGAATGCTTGTTTAAGTGTCTCTTGGTCTTTTGTAATTCTTTTGAACCCGGTGTCCAGTTTAGTATTGGTTGAATTTGGTTTTTAATTTTTGCAGTTTCTTTTTTTTTTTTTTTTTTTTTTTTTTTTTTAGTTTTTCGAGACAGGGTTTCTCTGTAGCTTTGGAGCCTGTCCTGGCACTAGCTCTTGTAGACCAGGCTGGTCTCGAACTCACAGAGATCCGCCTGCCTCTGCCTCCCGAGTGCTGGGATTAAAGGCGTGCGCCACCACCGCCCGGCTATTTTTGCAGTTTCTTTTCAGTCCCCTGTCTCATAGGTGGTTGGCGAAGATTTTCCCCTCTGATTCTGTAAGCTCTTTTCATTTTTTATGAAAAGAAGTCTTTTAATTTCATATCATCCTATTTGTTTTATTTCCTGTGAAGTTTTAGTGCTTTTCCAAGTACTATGTTTTAATGATCTCTCTTTATACTTATATAAATAAAGTCAGGTGAAGAGAAATGGCAGTTAACATAAAGCATGATATGATAATATTGGAATGGGAGGTGGTGAGCATCCTAAGTTCAGGGAGAACCTTTGAGGTTCCTTTGCATAGAGATTTTCATTCACACACCCTGAGCCTTCTACATGCTAGACAAGTGCTGTGTCACCAAGATACATCCTCCAGTCTTCAACACACACACACACACACACACACACACACACACACACACTCGTGCACGCGCATACGTATTTTACAGCCAGAAGATACTGTGTGGATGCAGAGTGGTCTGAAGACGAAAGGCCGTGCAGTCCTTCAGCGAGACACTTGCTTGGGTGCCCTGCCATGAATAAAGACTTGCTCTGCTTTTCCGAGCCTTGTTGCTTTAATTGTGAAGTTTGTCTCACGGGTCGTGAGAACTGACGCACGTCCTTCGTGTGGAAAGTGTAGGTATAACCATGCCTGACGTCAGATACACCATCATGACGTCTGACCTGCGTTGTGTTTATAGTGCAGCAGAGAGAACTGGTCACTGGCTTTCATTCAGATTTCGAGAGGACAGTCAGACACAAGGGTATGACGGGAAGTGATCTCCAGCCACCACTCGACTCTGGCTGTCTGCGGACTGGTAATCCCTTTCCTAGTTCTCAAGTTGAGAAACTCACCAGACACACCCATCTCCATCTTGATCTTCGCCATATAGAATTGGGGCTCACTGAAAAGCCGTTCCTCACAGGAAAGTTAAAGAACATGCGTGGGGAGAGCCTGCCTATGAGAGCTCAGACATACATGGGTTAGTTTAGTGAGTACAGATTACAGCCCAAGATAACCAAACCTCTGGAGGTTTGCCTAGAACACACCCGTTGACAGATGCCAGCCTCCAGAAGGGCCTTACTTGGATGCATGTCCACCTCCCTGAGGTTTTCTGGCTCTTCCTAAGTAAAGCCATCTTTATTCTTTTAAGCACCACAATCTTTAAAAAAATTGTAACACTTTCAAAGTTCCCTATCTCTTTAAAAGTTCAAAGTCCCTTAACTGTGGGCTCCTGTACAACAAAAACTAGGTTATTTACTTTCTTATTCCAAGAGAGAACTGGGGCATAGTTACAGTCAGATCAAGGCAAACCCAGAATCTAGATTGTGGAGCTCAGTGTCCAGTATCTGGCATTCATTCATGTTCCTAACAGCCTGGGCAGCCCCACTTCCCCAGCTGCGCCTTCTGCAGCTCACAGAGCTCGCCTTGTAGACGCAGGCCAGCTCAACTCCACACCTGCCATTGACCTTGGCAGAAACTCCAGAGGCCTGATATCTCCAGTATCCCAGCGTCCACTGAAAATGAGATTAGACCTTCACCAGTGGCCTCTCTTGGACGTTGCTTAGCTTCAGCTGCTCTCTAGTCCCTTCGATCTTGCCTCACATGCTTGCTTTCAAAGCCCGTACCATGTGGGTGACCCTTAGATATTGTCAAGTTCCCACCGGCAGCTTGAGAAGCAGCCTTGGCCTTCCCAGACCGCAGCTTGTGTGTTGACCCTAGAGAAATAATTCCTTGAATATTTCACATCCGTGAGGCTGATCTCTTACTAATCACAGCTGATTCTTCAGCCCCAGAGGACCAGCATCTGTTGTCCCAGTAAAGCACAGAAGGTTTCACTTCAGCAGGGCTGGTCTCTCTCGGTAATCAAGCTGCTTTAGCCTTGGCTGATCAGCAACCAGATTCCTAATCCAAAATATCACACGAGTGACCCTAATAGAGTCTTTGCTTCCCTCTGAAATGACCCAAGCCAGGCCTTCATTGTCTACATTATCTTCTAAAGCTCTCACAGCACCCACTCCTTAAAATCTGAGCATTCAACAGTCCCAAGTTCCAACACTTCTATAGTCTTCCCCCCAAAACCATGGTAGAGTAAGTCACAGTAACACCCCATTCCTGGTACCAGTTACCGTGCTAGTTTCTTTTATGTTGCTATGAGATAAACACGGAGGAAAGGGGTTATTTCTTCTGACTGGTTACCCTCTACCATCAAGGGACGTAAAGGCGGAAATCAGAGGAACACTGCTGCTGGCCTGCTTCTCGCTCACATTCAGCTTGCTACCTTTCTTACGTAGCTCAGGCCCACCTCCCTAGAGGTGGTGCTTCTCACAGTAGGCTGGACCATCCTGCATCAGTTAGTCAGAATGCTGCACAGGCATACCCACAGGCCAATTCCCAGTAGAGGTTTCCTCTTCCTACTGGGTGAGGGTGACAGCTAGGATTAGCCATCACACCTACCATGCAGGAACCTGGGTTTGATCTGCAGCACTGCATAAAGCCAGGTGTAGTGATGCATACTTACAATTCCAGGAAGCAGGAGGATCAGACGTTCAGAGCCATCTTTATCTGCTTAGTAAGTTCAAGGTCTGCTTGGCATAGGCGACTGCCTCAAAAACAAAACGAGCCAAAGCCAAAACCAAGGGAAGAAAAAAAATACTTAATATTAAAACTTATAGAACTAATTATGGCTCAAAAATAGCAACAGAAAACTAGGCAGTTAATTTGCGGCACAGCGTGAGGGTATGGATGATGGTAGTATAGTTAAAAATTAAAACTAAGTATCTCTTTACCATAAACTTTTGCTGGCTCTTTGGAGGCTGTTGTGCACCGGGGTGTGCAAATATACCCATCCACAAAGATCCATGTTTACACATTTAACTGTAGAAAAAGACTCGTAAATTAGGTGAATGAAGACTCGACTATATTGTCATATTGAAAAAGAGCTATTATAACAGAATGTAAACACAGGGTCCCCTGAGGCCATCTTTTCTTTGACTCACTGGTTTACAGGAATGACACGATGCTTGGTCTGCACCCAAAGCTGAACTTCTATGGAAGCCCGTGTTCTACACAGGTGCCTGATGGATGTATAGCATCACTTCCCCCCCAGTCATGGAGAAGCTGGGCAGGGGTCTATTTTGGGATAGCGAGAGTTTTGGCGACTAGAGTAAGGGCCTTCAGTTCATTTCAAAGATGCTTGCTTTACAGTGGGGAGGGCTGTGGAGACAGCTCAGTTGGCAAAGTGCTTGCCAAGAGTCCCAGTTTGCGTCCCAGACCTGTGTGAAAAGGCAGGTGGGGTGATGCATGCCTGCAGGGCCCGTGCTTGGGAAGTGAAGACAGGTGGAATCTTGGGACTCGATGGCCAGCCTCCCTGGCTGGACCAGTAAGCTCTGGGCCAGATGATGAAGGATATCACAGAACACAGCCATCCAGATATGACTTTGCTGTTGCAGCCATAAACATCTAGCCTTTATGGATACAGTAGATTCTCAACTTCCCATCATGCACTGAGGAGGAGATATTGAAGCCCCTTCCCTTCCTGAAGAACTAGTGTCTATTAACTGGTGGAGGAGGGGGTGTCATTTTCTCTCAATGGTGTAGCCACTGGGAAACTAGGTGGGAAGAAAGGATTCAGAGGATAAAGGGAGGACAGAGGATAATATATGTGATCACAATACATTACGTGTGTGTGTGTGTGTGTGTGTGTGTGTGTGTGTGTATGAAATAGTCCAAAAGTAAATATAAGTAAGACTGTGCTGTACTATTTGTTGGGCTGGCTGCTCTGGTGATGGTGGTGTTGGTGCAGAAAATACTTAGCATAGGAACCAAAGGTGTACTTCTGACTGAGGTCTGCCTCTGTTTTCCTTCATGCCTCTGTGCTTGTAACACAGTCTGGAGGGAGTGAGCGGGCATTTACCGAGTACACACTTCAAGAGGATTTTGTTCATGGTGAGGGATTTTCATTTGATCTAGGTTTATATTGGTTTCTAATTTTGATATTCCCGAGGGAAATATAATGTTTCCCTTTAGGGACTCACTAAGACAGTGGCAAATGAGTAGCAAATGTTATTGCATGAGGAATTAGGGGTCTAAGGTAAAATAAGAAGGCAGCCTCTTCTGAGCTGTGCTGAAGTGCACACACGCATCAGGGTGTGAGCCTGGCAGATGTAGGCTCAGGGCCCCTGAGAAGTAAGAGTAGAGATTGCTCATTTACGACCTGTCTTTGGGTTTTATTGCTGTGATGAGACACCATGGCCACAGCCACTCTTATAAAGGAAGATATCTAATTGGGACTGGCTTACAGTTTCAGAGGTGTGTTATCATCACGGCACACACATATCAGCATGGTGCCATTCAGATAGACCTGTGGATCAGCAGGCAGCAGTAAGAGAAAGCCCCACTAGGCCTGGTGTGAGCATTTGAAACCTACTGACACCCCACCCCAGTGACACACTTCCTTCAACAAGGCCACACCTAATAGTGCCACTCCCTGTGAACCTATGGGGCCATTTTCATTCAAACCATGCAGGGTCTTGGGCGCGGGCAAAGTTTGTCTCACTTGTTGAAGGGGGTGTTTTGGAGCTCTCTGAATAAAACCCTTGGATAGAGTTTGAAGCAGAAGCTGCCTGTGGGAAGTTATGTGTGGTGGTCTGAATAAGAATGGCTCTCCTGTGTTTGAAGGCTTCCTCACCAGGGAGTGGAACTGTTTGATAGGATTAGAAAGATTAGGAGGTATAGCCTGGTTGGAGAAATTGTGTCTCTGGGGGTAGGCCTTGAGGTTTCAAAAGCCCATGCCACACCCAGTCTTTCTGTCTTAGCCTGTAAATCAGGATGTAGCTCTCAGCTACTGCTCTACCATGCTCCCCACCGTGATGATACTGTACTAAACCTCTGAACCTGCAAGCAAGCACCTCAATTAAATGTTTTCCTTTGTAAGAGTCGCAGTGGTCAGGGCGTCTCTGCACAGCAAGAGAACAGTGACTGAGAATTTTGGTTTTGAACCTTTTTCCCTTTTGTATTCAGGACAAAACCTGGAGGAAGACCTGTGGGAGGCAATGTTTGAGTAACTCCAAGGAACCAGACGGGGAGAATGTCAGCCCTCAACTGGAAGCCCTTTGTGTATGGAGGGCTGGCCTCCATCACAGCGGAATGCGGTAAGGAGCCTGGGCGCTGAAGCCTTGCCTGATGGGGTGTGATGGCTGTCATGTTTGGTGTGTGGTGTGCTTGGCATTCAAATACAGAATGCAGGCTCATGAAATAATAACCTCAGTCTGGAGACAGGTGTTCTCAGAATATGTTTTTAGACAGATTGGTCTTTGGCTACTTATTAGCAGTTTGGGTTTTAAAGTGCGAGAGGGAGAAAGTTGACCAGATAGTTTCAAGACTCCTCCCATTTGGAGTGATTGACCCTGTTACCGTGCCCTTTCCTCCACGTTGCCATTATTAACCCATTTGGCTGCAGAGAAGTTTGGCACTTTCCAGGGACTTCTCTGAACCAGAGCAGATTGACTGTGCTCCGGCACTTTCTAGCTTTTGCATGGCCCGCATTCCGCTCTGACGTCATCAGTTGGGTTCTGACTGCATTGCTCCTGTGTCCATGCTCTGTCAAGCACCTGTTGACAACTTGGCTCCCAAGTGTCTTGTGCTGGCTTGGACATGTCCCTGACTCGATTGACGTGCGAGGTGCCTGATTACCCACATTCTGCAAATGAACGGAAGGGTTTGAGAGACTGAGTCTTCTCCCTGAGTGAGTTAGCCTGGACTTTCTGAGCCAGGGTTGCTGTGTGAGGATGGATTCTGTATATGTGGATAAATGGTCAGGTCGGGTGGCAAGTATCCTTACCTGCCTCATCAGGCTTCATTTTAAACTATAAACTCTTCTTGCTAAGTGAAAATCCCATCGACTTCTATAAACCTCTATTCAGTCATCAAACCCAATCTTAGCTTTTTCATACATAAAAAACACAGTTATTTGGAGTTGTAAGTGGGTTTCCTCTTTGGGTAAATGATTTTGTTTATCTGTTTTATAGCAGCACAGCCTCCTCAGCTTTATATAAAAGTAGATGTTTAACTGAGTTTGGGAGCACACACCTGTAACCCTGGCATTTTGGGAGGTGAGGGCAAGATGATCAGGAGCTCAAGGTCAGCTTCAGCTCAAGGTCAGCTTCAGCTACAGAGCAAGTTGGAAGCCAAGATGGGCAACGCGAGACCTTGTCTCAGAACAAAAACATCTCTCTCTCTCTCTCTCTCTCTCTCTCTCTCTCTCTTTCTCTTTTTCTTTCTTTCTTTCGTCTCTCACTGCCCTGGAACTTGCTAAGTAGGCTAGGCTGCCTGGCCAGCAAGCAAGCCCCTGTCTTCACATCACCTTTTTGTAATGTGGAGGCTGGGAACCAATTCAGGTCTCTATGCTTATATAGCAAGTGTCTTTGCAAGTGGTCTATTTCCCCAGCCCTGACATTTCTTAATGTTACTTTTTTTCAGGGCGATATTTTTTATTTTTCATTACCCCCCCCCCCCAGCTGAGGACCAAACCCAGGGCTGTGGGTTGCTAGGCAAGCACTCTACCACTGAGCTAAATCGCCAACTCTTTTCTTTAACACTTTCAGGCACATTTCCAATTGATTTAACTAAGACCCGGCTCCAGATCCAAGGACAGACAAACGATGCCAACTTCCGAGAAATCAGGTATCGCGGGATGTTGCATGCGCTGATGAGGATAGGTCGAGAAGAAGGGCTGAAGGCGCTGTATTCTGGGTGAGTCCACTTTCGTGTGTGTGTGTGTGTTTAATGTGGGCCCTTTCTAGTGGATACAGGGCCCTCTCCTTGCTCATTTGGTCTGAACACAGCAGCTGGAAATGCTACAGAGCTGTATTGGTGGATTTAGGAATCCTTTGTATGGATGAGCATGAAGTCGTGGGAGGAAGAAGGGAGGATCTGGAGGACCTCCCAGAGGGTGGCCTTGGGATGAATATAACACAGCTGGTTGCCCAGAGGATGGGAGGTTGTTGTTTAGGATGGAAAAATTTGGCTTGCGTTCACTGATTCTGGCTTGAACTTGATATTGTATTGGGAACAACTTAGAGAGAGAGGGGAAAAATCCTGACCGTGTACCTGTCTTCCTGGGTTCTTTGTACTGAGAAGGGGGTGACTACATATTTTAATTTGAGTGGGCATATTAGCTCCATATTTGCATTTTCATCAAAGGTAAGTGTGGGGTCTCAAGCTTCCATTCAGGGACCTCAAAATCACCTCTGATTTCAAGAGCCACTTGTGTTTTGTTACCTTTTCTACGTTAAGAAATCCATTTTCAGCTGGTTGTGGTGGCACATGACTTTAATCCCAGCACTCGGGACGCAGAGGCGGGTGAGTTTAAGGCTAGCCTGGTCTACCTATTGAGCTCCAGCAAGGGAAGACTACATAGAGACACCTAAGACATTTTAGCTGTAGATTATGTCTTTGCGCTTGAGTCTTTCTGAGATTTTCTGACGTGTAGGTTGGCTTTTGTCTGCCTGCATGCCAATGGGACAGGATTGCCCCTGCGATGCTGCGCCAGGCTTCCTATGGCACCATCAAGATTGGCACTTACCAGAGCTTGAAGCGATTAGTTGTGGAACGCCCAGAAGGTGGGTGGCAGCCTGTTTTCCTGGGGACAGTCAGGGGGTTCGTAGTTGCTTTAGTCCAGACATTTTGGAACAGGTTTTTAATTATTTGGTTCATTTTCGACCCCTAAGGAAAAGACTGGGTACAAAGAGTAAGCAAACTGTGCTCGACCTGAGCGGAGAGAAAGAACCTTTGTACAAGTGTTTTCATCACTTGTGTTTGAAATAGCCTCCTCCCAGACCCACCCCACCTCCTTACCCTCTCCCAACATCATGGTCATTTCTTTATGACCCAGAGACTAATTTGTGCTGCCGTGTACTCATGGGTGTGAGACCATCCACTGGGGTGTGGTCAACCTAACAAAGACCATCTGTTCTCTTAAAGGAAAACAGCCCTCTCCCTACCCCAGAAGTCCTCAGTTGTCAGGAGCTTCTCAGCTAGGGGTGGGAGCAGTCATTTGTCTTGATGTTCAAATGCTGAGCTACATGCCATACCATTTCCACTTGCCAACGGGAAATTTTCTGAAATTGAATTATCACCCTATTTTCAGGAAGGCACTAAATGCGTGTGTTGTCTTACTCTAAGAGCTGTGATAGCAGCGTGTGTCTGTGGGATCAGCGTGTGTCTCTGGGATCAGTGTGTGTCTGTGGGATCAGTGTGTGTCTCTGGGATCAGTGTGTGTCTGTGGGATCAGTGTGTGTCTGTGGGATCAGCGTGTGTCTGTGGGATCAGCGTGTGTCTGTGGGATCAGTGTGTGTCTGTGGGATCAGCGTGTGTCTGTGGGATCAGCGTGTGTCTGTGGGATCAGTGTGTGTCTGTGGGATCAGCGTGTGTCTGTGGGATCAGCGTGTGTCTCTGGGATCAGTGTGTATCTGTGGGATCAGCGCGTGTCTCTGGGATCAGCGCGTGTCTGTGGGATCAGCGTGCGTCTGTGGGATCAGTGCGTGTCTCTGGGATCAGCGCGTGTCTGTGGGATCAGCTCGTGTCTCTGGGATCAGCGCGTGTCTGTGGGATCAGTGCGTGTCTCTGGGATCAGCATGTGTCTCTGGGATCAGCGCGCGTCTGTGGGATGAGCACGTGTCTGTGGGATGAGCGCTTGTCTGTGGGATCAGCGTGTGTCTCTGGGATTAGCGCGCGTCTGTGGGATGAGCACGTGTCTGTGGGATCAGCGCGTGTCTGTGGGATCAGCGTGTGTCTCTGGGATCAGCGCGTGTCTCTGGGATCAGCGCGTGTCTCTGGGATCAGCGCGTGTCTCTGGGATCAGCGTGTGTCTCTAGTATCAGCGCGCGTCTGTGGGATCAGCATGTGTCTCTGGGATCAGCATGTGTCTCTGGGATCAGCGCGTGTCTCAGGGATCAGCGTGTGTCTGTGGGATCAGCGCATGTCTCTGGGATCAGCGTGTGTCTCTGGGATCAGCGTGCGTCTGTGGGATCAGCATGTGTCTCTGGGATCAGTGTGTGTCTGTGGGATCAGCGTGTGTCTCTGGGATCAGCGTGTGTCTGTGGGATCAGCGTGTGTTCCTGGGATCAGCGTGTGTCTGTGGGATTAGTGTGTGTCTCTGGGATAAGCATGTGTCTCTGGGATCAGCGCGTGTCTGTGGGATCAGCGTGAATATACAAGGCAGTTGCACTACACATCCATTTGGAAAAACAGAGGAATAGCAGATAATTATTTAAGATTAACTGCTTGATTCACACAGCATACATTTATGTTCAGATGAGCAGGTAGAGTGTAATGGATTAATTTATATTGGAGTCATTTACAGGAAAAACTCTACGGACAAAAAGCCAACCACTGTGTCTTTATTTATAGATGAAACCCTGCTGATCAATGTTGTGTGTGGAATTCTGTCTGGAGTCATATCCTCAGCTATTGCTAACCCAACTGACGTTTTGAAAGTAAGTGCTGGCTGCATCAGAGAGGCACGGTCCACATTTTTTTTTTGGAACTGGGGACAGCATTCAGATGAGACTCCACAAATATAGCAAACTGTGTGTCTTAGCTAGGATTTTATTGCTGTGAACAGACATCATGACCATGGCAACTCTTATAAAGGGAAACATTTAACTGGGGCTGGCTTATAGTTCAGAGGTGTAGTCCATTCATCACGACAGGAAGCATGGTGGCATGCTGGAGAAGAAGCTGAGAATTCTACGTATGGATCCGCAGGGAGCAGGAAGAGACTGAGACCCTAGGCCTGGCTTGAGCTTCTGAGAACTCCCAAAGCCTGCCCCGGTAACACATTTCTTCCAGCTAAGCCACACCTCCTAATAGTACCACTCTCTGTGACCCTGTAGGGGCCATTTTCTTTCTTCAAACCACTACACTATGAGTCTTAAATTTCAAACTTTTAAAAAGCTACTAAGTGGATTTCCACTGATACAGATGAGCTTACTATTGTATAGAGTTCATTTAAATTTTTTTTTTTAGATTTATTTATTTATTATGTATACAACATTCTGTCTTGATGTATGCCCACACACCAGAGGAGGGAGCCAGATCTCACTACAGATGGTTGTGAGCCACCATGTGGTTGCTGGGAATTGAACTCAGGACCTCTGGAAGAGCAGCCAGTACTCTTAACCTCTGAGCCATCTCTCCAGCCCTAGAGTTCATTTTAAAGATAAAAATTTTGGTGATTAAGCAGTAAGAAACCTTTTGTTTATATATATTTGATTTTGCTTTTTACAGAAAATCTCCTCTATTTTGTTGGTTCATTGAATAATGCAGTAGCTACACAAAATTGCATAAATCTAGGCTTCATGTTAATATTTTTTAAAAATGTATTTATTTATTATTTTATTTGTGTGGGTGTTCTATCTGCATGCATGACTGTGTACCATGTGTGCAGCATCTGCAGAGGCCAGAAGAGGGCATCATATCCTCTAGAACTGGAGCTACAAATGGTTGTGAGCCATCATGTAGGTGCTGGGAACTGAACCCAAGTCCTCTGCAAAAGCCCAGTGCTCTCTGCCATTGAGCTGTCTCTCCGGCCCCCTCATTAATATTTCTGAATATGTTTTCTTTCCTACTACCTTTATGCCAGGAAATACAAATGGAAATATGTCACCTATAACAGTTAGAAGCAACACGTTCATGAACTATTGAGGACACACTGAATAGACACTAATCTATTAAGGGATTAAGGCAAAGGGATGATGAGTAATTAAAAAAAAATCCCACATGAATGCCGTCTGGAGCTCCCCTCTCCATTCCCTTATTTAACAAGATTCTATGCTTTGGACTGTGTGATAGCATCTCGAATGACTAGGGGAGGACCCTGCCTTCTGGAACCTTCACTCTGATAGGTGCTGACAGGCATCAAACTATGACATGTTGGGCACACAATGCTTCATGCCTGCTATAAAGGCAAGGGGTAGCATGCAGTCCATACTCCTATTAATTTCTTTATTCCTTTTCCAGGGTTTCTCTGTGTAGCCCTGGCTTGTCCTTTCTGTAGACCAAAACTAGCCTCCAACTCACAGAGATAGATCCACCTGCCTCTGCCTCCCGAGTGCTGGGATTAAAGGCATGTGCCACCACTGCCCAGTTCTCCTATTAATTTCTTTTGTTTTTTTGAGATGGAGTTTCTCTGTGGGACAGTCCTAACTGTCCTGGAACTCACTCTGTAGACCAGGCTGACCTTGAACTCACAGAGATCCACCTGCCTTTGCCTCTCAGTGCAAGTGTGCACTGGCTCCTATTAATTTCTTAAATCGGGAAGGTTGTGTCTGTATTTTGGTTAGTTTCCCCAAGTCAGCCAAGTTAGTGAGGCAGTAACAGTTCCATTTGAAGTTAGTGTCAATATATTTGTTCCCTCAACAAATGTAAGATATTGATTTTTTTTTAATGAGAATTCCTTCATTCTGTTTTTCTCTCTGATTTATTTAATGGGTATGGGTGTTTTGCTTGTATGTATGTCTGTATACCACTTGGATGCCTGGTACCCATCCCTGGGACTGGAGTTACAGACAGTTGAACTACCATATGGGTGCTAGGAATTGAACTTGGGTCCTCTGGAAGAGCAGTCAGTGCTCTTAACCACTGAGCCACCTCCCCAGCCCTTCTCTTTACTCCTAAGACAAAAGACTCCATTGAACATTCCACATAACTGTAGAGTCTCAGTCAGTCACGTGGCTCTCCTAGGCTCTGTGAACTGTGGAAGTTCCAGTGTATGAAAGTGTAACAGCATCCTGTTGATGGCTTATTTGCATACCTTTGACAATTTGGAAATAATTGTGGCTTGGAGCAATTTAAGAACTAGGCTTGCTGCAGTTTACTGCAGCCGAGTGCACTGGGTGACTCTCACTGGTTATAGTAAACTTTAAATATTAACATCACTTTCTCTAGCTGGCTGTGGTGGCACACACCTTTAATCCCGCTAGTGCAACTATGAGTTTGAAGCCAGAGTGGTCTACAAAGCGAGCTCCAGGGCAGCCAGGATTATGCAGAGAAATCCTGCGTCAGAAAAAAAAAAATCCTCTGTTTTTCCTTCTTACTAACTCATAGACAGAAATAGGCTACACTCCCAAAAGACAACAACCGAGAGAGAGAGAGAGAGAGAGAGAGAGAGAGAGAGAGAGAGAGAGAGAAACAGAAAAGACCCAAGACTTAAAATGCTGGATAATACACTGTGATGCTGCTTAGTCCTTTTTAGCGCTGGAGTTGCTAAGGGCCAACCTATGCCATGGGTCTTCCCAGGGTGTGTGAAGGGAGCATCACAGGGACCTGTGCCATGGGTGCCAAGGGTATTTGAAGGGAGCATCACAGGGACCTGTGCCATGGGTCTGCCCAGGGCATCTGAAGAGAGCATCACAGGGACCTATGCCATGGGTGCCATGGGTGCCGAGGGTATCTGAAGGGAGCATCACAGGGACCTGTGCCATGGATGCTGAGGGTATCTGAAGGGAGCATCACAGGGACCTGTGCCATGGGTGCCGAGGGTGTGTGAAGGGAACATCACAGGGACCTGTGCCATGGGTGCCGAGGGTATCTGAAGGGAGCATCACAGGGACCTGTGCCATGGGTCCCGAGGGTATCTGAAGGGAGCATCACAGGGACCTATGCCATGGGTGCCGAGGGCATCTGAAGGGAGCATCACAGGGACCTGTGCCATGGGTGCCGAGGGCATCTGAAGGGAGCATCACAGTCATATTTATGCTGGTTTTCCCCAAGCACCATTAAGCACCTGATGGGAGGTTTTCTTAGGTCTCTGGTGGTGAGGGGTGGAGAACAGGCCAGTCTCCTTCTCATGTTACATCTTCTGATGATCTGTAGATCCGAATGCAAGCCCAGAACAGCGCTGTTCAAGGAGGAATGATAGGCAACTTCATTAACATCTACCAGCAGGAAGGGACAAGAGGACTGTGGAAGGTGAGCCTGGAGCGCCGAAGAAGTCACAGCTGGCTTTTCATGTCCCCTCCTCACTGTTTTAATCTGAGTGTCGTCATGGAGTAAGAGGAACGCCACTTTCTCCATTTGAGGACGCCTTCCTTCTTACTGTTAAAATGGGAACGTGAGGAGTGCGTTGTGGTTTCCAGCTGCCCCTTAGATAGTGCACACGGGGGATTTGTGAAAGCCGAGCTCTTTTTGTTTATTTGATGTTTGCTTTTCATTGTTTTGGTTCTTTGATGTCCCTGGGTCCCCTTCCCACTGGGTGGGGGACCTACACAGTTTCATGGCTTAGGTGAAGTCTGTGGTCAGGCAAGTGCCGATGTAGAGCATGGGTCTGATCCTTCAGCATGGCAGGAACTGGAGGCTTTGAGGATGGTTTGTCCAAGCCACGGTCTGGCCAGGAATCGACTCTTGAGTTCCCACTTGGTGCTTCTTAACTCTGTTACTCCCCTCTCCTACCTGATGACAGAACTAGTAATGGGTGGGATAGAGCTCCGTACCCTGGCCTTCCCTGGAGGGATGTGGAAATCATGTTCCTATTCATGTTTCTACCCAGGGCGTGTCCCTCACAGCGCAGAGGGCTGCCATTGTTGTTGGTGTGGAACTTCCAGTCTATGACATTACCAAGAAGCACCTGATTCTCTCAGGCCTGATGGGAGACACCGTCTCTACGCATTTTCTGTATGTGTATGGATTTTAAAATTTAATATTTTAACTGGGCAGTCTTGGCGCTTGCCTTTAATCTCAGCACTAGGGAGGCAGAGGCAGGTGGATCTCTGTGAGTTTGAGGCCAGCCTGGTCTACAAAGTGAGTTCCAGGGACAGCCAGGGCTACAAAGAGAAATGCTGTCTTGAAAAAAATAAAGATTAATATTTTAGGTATGCATTACCTTAGGGTGAAATTTTTGTATAAATTTATGGAAGTTTTAGAGAAAGTATTTAATAGTATTATACTTTTTTTTTTTTTTTTTTTTTTTTTTTTTGGTTTTTCGAGACAGGGTTTCTCTGTGGCTTTGGAGCCTGTCCTGGAACTAGCTCTGTATACCAGGCTGGTCTCGAACTCACAGAGATCCGCCTACCTCTGCCTCCCTAGTGCTGGGATTAAAGGAGTGTGCCACCATCACCCGGCTTATACTTTCTTATTTGAAAAATCGTAATACAGAAGTCAAACACGACCAGATAAAAGTCTTTATGCCTTCACATAGGTAGCTATTGTTAACAGATATGTACCTGTGTGTATGCAAACAGTGTGTTTGCACACAAACATCACATGTAGTTTACAAACAAGGAAAGTAATGTTTGTATTACACTGCTTTTAAAAGCGTGACAACACATCCCAAATATATTTCCCATGTCTGTTCTTACAGCTTTAGCTATTTCTGATTGTTCATGTTTGTGTCGGTGCACACGGTGCAAAGGCCTGCCGAGGTCAGAGGGATGATGTCAGAGCCCCAGAACTGGAGTTCCAGGCAGACGTTAACATCAGATATGGGTGCTGGGAATCTAACTTGGATTCTATAGGAACACTATACCCTCTTAACTGCTGAGCCGTCTCTCTGACCTTCACTTGTTTTTAATAACTACAGGTTATCACGTTTATACATATACAGCATAGACCATTTAATCCATCGTTGGGCTCAGTGACTTGGTCTCGACGGGGACATTTAGGCAAGTGTGGCCAGTGTGCTGTGTTTCACCACTAGGGGGAGCACTATCTACAACTAGTGGGCAGAGTTTGTATGCTGCAAATATGGGCAAACTTTAGTGTGAACAAAACAACCTCCACAACAGAGAATGAGCGAGTCAGCAAATGAGGAACGCTGAGGTGGAAACCTGAGCTGACGGATACTGATAAAATAAAACTGCAGCAGAGTTCAGTTCGGTGGTGTTTAGTTTGAACAGAAGAAATGTTCAGGAGCCGGGCTGTGCCTTTAATCCCAGCACTTGGGAGGCAGAGGCAGGAGGATCTCTGTGAGTTTAAGGCCAGCCTGGTCTACAGAGTGAGTTCCAGGATAGCCAGGGCTGTTGCACAGAGGAAAAAAAAAGAAAAGAAACTGTTGAGGAAGAGAGTAGCACTCACAGTGAAAAGTGGTTCCGAGAGCCGCATCTGCGGTGTGCGCAGGAGTGTTTAGGCCAGAGAAGAGGAGATGGCCTGTAGATGATCTCCACGGAGTTTAGCAAGGAAGTGAGAGTGTAGCCATTCTGTTTTATGCTTTCTGCAACTCAGTAAGTTAAATAAATTAGGGTATAGTTACTTATATACACAGACAGGTGTTGGCTAGATACAACCCAGTTTAGCAACGATACTCAGTGTGGCCTATGGTAGTCTAGTGAGAATGACAGTCTGCTAGAACTTAAGACCCCGTGGGGGATACGCAGTGAGGTATCCCCTTGTGCTTTATTTATTTTTAGACTTGTTTTTACATGTATGAGTGTTTTACCTGTGTGTGGGGGTGTGGTGTGTGTGTATTCACTATGCATGTGCTTGGTGCCTGCACAGCTCAGGGCATCAGGACCCTGGAACTGGAGTTACGGGTGGCTGTGCGTCACCATGTGGGTGCTGGGATCTGAACCTGGGTCCTCTGTGAGAACAAGTGCTCCTATTGGATGAGCCATCTCCAGTCCCATGGACCTCATTCTTGGTCCCGCTCAGGTAGCTCTGTATTTACTTGAAGGTCATTTGGGAGGAAGCTGTCTTGTTTCCCACCTGTGTAGCTGTAGCTGCGTGGGAGTTCTTGTCGTTTCCAATACTATTTTCTCCGTAGGTCAAGCTTCACCTGTGGTCTGGTGGGGGCTCTGGCCTCCAACCCTGTTGATGTTGTGAGGACCCGCATGATGAATCAGAGGGTCCTTCTTGATGGCGGGTGCTCTGGCTACAAAGGTACCGTGGATTGCCTATTGCAGGTGAGAATGAGTGTCTGTGCAGGATTGTGAGCTACACGCACACACACACACACACACACTCACACACATACACACACACTCACACACATACACACACACACATTGCAGTCACTAAGTTATGATGATGGGCGAGGCCATAGAGCCCTTGGGGAGGCATATAATACATATAACATATACTTTTTAAAAAAATTTTTAAGACAGGGTCTTAGCTATGCAGCCCTGGCTGGCATGGAATTTGCTGTGTAGACCGAGATCCACCTGCCTCTGCTGTTATAAAAGGCATGTGCCACCATGCCTGGTATGACAGGACATTTTTGGTTGCCATGGTTTCAACCACACTAGGGTTGAAAGTCCAAGAGCTATATGAAATTTTATAAATTAAAGTTCATTTTCCACATACTTTTCCCCTGCTAGGAAGGTTGCTAAAATAGTAATATTTTCTGTGGTTACAAAACTCTCCCTTTCCAGAGTGGACCTCTTCCCTCTTGGGTCCAACTGGAGTAAGTATCCTGTCCATATGTTACTCACAGGAGTGCATCAATCTGACCGCAGCTTAGAGTACTGGTTCTAGCAGAGGAAAGTGTTCAGCTTCCCCACCAGGTCACCAGCAGCCAAAGCTTAGGGACGCTTGCTCCAGGTCTCAGCATAATGCTAATACTTCTTAGTCTTCAAGGATTGCTTTACATTTTTAAAATAGTTTATATATATGTAAACTATATATATATGTGTGTGTGTGTGTGTGTGTGTGTCTGTTATATCTGTGTGTGTGTGTGTGTGTGTGTGTGTGTGTGTGTATGCTGCATGCATACCTGCAGGCCAGAAGAGGGCATCAGATCCCATTATAGATGGCTGTGAGCCACCATGTGGTTACTGGGAATTGAACACACAGACCTGTGGAAGAGCTGCCAGTGCTCTTAACCACTGAGCCATCTCTCCAGCCCTGCTTTACATTTTTTAAAAATTATGTTTATTTTGTGTCTGTTTACTCTGTCTCAAAAAGCAAACAAATGAAAATTGTCATTTGTAAATGGCACCACCCAAAGCCTGTTGAGTCCGCTCAGGCATTTGGTTTCTCTATATTCTTGCATCTAGATTGGAATAGGTACCAATGGCTGCATCTCCCCATCTTCTGAATCCCTTGCCTCCAGCAGCCAGCAGGTCATTCCATTAGGAACTGCAGCTCCTGTGTGACACATGGCCTTTAGGGGCACAACACACAAGCTGGTTGTACATCGGCACTCCCAACCTTATAGTGGGCTGTGCGGGCAGAGCAGGGTGGTGCCCTGAGCAGCAGGGTGGGCTGCTGCTCTTTGCCACAACTGAGGGGAAAGACCACTTTGGCAGGCTTGGTTTCCCAGGCTCAGTCAGGACAACTGTGGGATTCAGTTATTTCCACCATTTAGGTTGGGGGTGGGGGTGGCATCCTCAACTTTGGGATTTAATTCGACTAAAAAGTATATCAGTTTGACACATTATTGATGCATTTGACATAATTGGAGAATGGGAAGTTAATACTTTTTTGTTTTCTTTTTAATAGACATGGAAGAATGAAGGTTTTTTGGCTCTATATAAAGGTTTTTGGCCAAATTGGTTGCGCCTTGGTCCTTGGAATATCATTGTATCCTTTTTTGTTGTGGTCGATCTAAAAAAGGCTATAACCAAAGAATATTATTTGTTTTGTTTACAAACTAAAATGTAGAAGTAAGTTCTTGTCCTTTTGAGTTCCTCTGATTCTAAGAAATAGCCACTCTGGACTGGAGAGAAGGTTGTGTGGTTGAGAGCATGGGCATTTCTTCCAGAGGACCTGAGTTCAAGTCCCAGCAACCACGCGGTGACTCACAGTCATCTGCAATTCCAGAGTGATGTGATTGCTATGTCTCCTGCTCTCCTGGGGAAGGATGTGGGTGCCATCAGCGTGTAAGCGTGTTTACTGTAGGTCACTGACCGAACATGGGCGGGACTTAGCTCTGGAAGTGACAGCCAGGTGTCAGGTCAGGAGGGGCAGGTCAGCAGACATGGAAAGAGTTCGACGTAGGGGTGCTGGGGTTGGCATCCCCTTTCTTTGTTGATGGAGAAATGCCAGAGAAGAGCTTCCTGGGGCTCTGTTGTACTCTGCCCAGTGAGGTCTTTGCTGATGAGAGTGGGTATCATTCCTGAGGAGCCTGAGGCTGAGGGGTTTGTAGGTCTCAGCTCTGCTCTCTGTCCTGAGTTGCCCTTGGGCAACACCTGGGGAGGCAGCCTGAGACTGGGCATGGAACTCAAGTGGGATGGCGTCCTTGGGCAAGCTGTCTGCAGATGCTTACCAGCAGAGAAGCCAAGTTGTCTGTCTGCTCTATGTGTCGGACTTGGTAACATGACATTTTCTTGGCATCCTTAACCCATAACCATAGTTCTTTTTGACATACGAGCAGCTGAAGAAACTGGACATGTGACCAGTCTGTGCTACGCGAGACATTCTCCTGAAAAGCCAGCTTCGGCGATGGTAGAACCTCCTGTGCTTTTGGCTGCTTCTCCCCGCACAGCTCATCACAGCTTCTAGGATGAGAGAGCACTAGGATGGTGAAGACCGGGTTCCTCAGATTGTCATGCGTTGGCACCAGGCGCTTTTTCATCCGTGTTCAGAGACTAAACCGTAACACGTTGTCGTGTGTAATGGTTTTTACTGTGGAAGTGCCCTTTGACACCAGAGATAATGTACAGAATACACGTTTCTTTCTGTAGAAAACTTGCAGGGAAAATCAGGACCGTGTGCAGTTTTCCTCTGGGAGAGCCGCCTTGCTGCTTCTGGACTTCAGCTGTGGGAACGCTCCGGAGTGATGGAGGCCCAGGAGGGTGGGGTCCTGTTCTTGTTCTGAGAAGGCTCCGGAGTGATTGAGTGTTGTCGTTGTCCCCCGTTCCCCCTCCCCCCTCACACCTTGGCTAGTATTATTCCTCGACCGTTGAGAGCTTTAGTTTAGTGAGCTGAAGAGATTTTACATTTGGACTTTTAAGGTCTCAACCTGTGCGGTGCACTGAGCTTGTCAGTGCAGGAAGTAGATTTTTAAAACATTCACTGCTTTATAGTTTGTGATCGGGCAGACTCCTTCACTCGCAGTAAGTGAAGTTAAGCCTCCGAAGGCTCGACCTTTGTCAGGTAATGTTAGCCATTTGCCCTATGATTTTTAGCAAAGTTTGTTTTTTCCATGTTGATCACATGGAGCTAATCATGCTTTGTGAAGTCGGTGTCAGATAAAGGGAAAAGTACCGAGACTGCCACGTGAAACGGGAGTGTGTTTACGTAAACAGTTGAGGTACCATGGGGTTCTCCTGACGGAAGGCCTTGTTGAGTAGCATTGCAGGTGAGGATTTTAGTTGCTAGTGACCGGAAGAGGGATGCCTCCAGACTTCTAGCCTTTCCTTTAGCTCAGGGCGGGTTTGTTTCAAAACCTTTCTCTGAGATTTCCTAGTTAACTTCCTTGAAATTAAAAACAAATGATTTATTTTCTTTCATCCCCTTTAATTTTTGTGACGTTGGGGTTCAAACCTAGTGCATTCTGGGTATCTGCCGCACACGAGCCCCGCCCCAACCCAAACTGATGACTTTATCTCCTTTCCGGTAACAGGTACATAACGCCCGGGTACCTATTTTTATTTCTTCTGAGACTGATAAAAACCTCTTATACTTTTAAAGCAGAAGATGTCTCTAAGAGCCAAGAGCTTTCTGTTTCTAGAAGGGAGCCCAGTCCCTTTAGGTGTACCCTGTGGAAGTCCCAGTGCTAACTGGGACTCTAAGCCGGGCCGATGCCAGGTGTATTCCTCATCTCTTCTCGAGGCAGAAGCGTGAGGGTTTCCTTCCCCTGAGGGTTGAGTGCTTTTTTCTCTCATACATTTTCACCTTGGCTTCTTTATTAATGTTTTCATTTGAAAACAGCGAAGCTGGGTTTGATTTCTAAAAGTAAAAGCTAAGACGAAATGGTCACAGAGAGCAGATGGCTTAAAGATGAAGAAAGGTCACAACTCCCTAGCACGCCACTAGATGGCAGTGGAGGACCCACGCTGCTGCTGGCCAGGCTCCCACTCTGTATTAGAGCTGTTTCCCTTCTGACCTGAACCTTCCCTTCAGTGATAGACTCCACAGAGGCTTTGAGTTGGAAGGACTGCATTTTTCTCAAACCACTTTTTGTTTATTTTTGTTTTTTCGAAACAGCCCTAGCTGTCCTGGAAAACTCTTTTTTTTTTTTTTTTTTTTTAAGACCGAACTGTTCACTCATAGAGATTCGTCTGCCTCTGCCTCTCAAGGGCTGGAATTAAAGGCGTGTACCCCCACCGACTGGCGGAAAAAGCAAAAAAAAAAAAAAAAGTAGTAACAGGTCCATTTTGAAGATCATGTAAAGAGTAAATGTCAGATAGCATTATCAGTTTATTCAAATTATGTATGTGTCTGTACCTAGATGAAAAGAAACTTTTTTTTTTTTTTTTGGATTTCTCGAGACAGGGTTTCTCTGTAGCTTTTGGTTCCTGTCCTGGAACTAGCTCTTGTAGACCAGGCTGGCCTCGAACTCACAGAGATCCGCCTGCCTCGGCCTCCCGAGTGCTGGGATTAAAGGCGTGTGCCACCACCGCCCGGCAGATGAAAAGAAACTTAAGCTACACTGTAAACTTCAGCGTGTTTTTAGGCAGAATTGCAGTATTTTAAGACAAGGGTGGTGTCAACTTACTAAATTAAGTGCCTTATATGACAGGGTTGTCACCTGCTTTTCCTATCCCCCTGGAGTTAACACAGTTGTTGATGCCCCTCACCCAGAGACAACTTAAAGCACTTGGTGATATGGATGTGGCCGTAACACTTCCGCTTGGCAGTTTGCTTAAGTATGATGAAAACTATTTCGAGTTTTTGTAACTAAGTTGAAGGAAATTGTGTTGTTATTGATGCTGTGATCTGGAATGTAAACATGGTTCCCGTTCTCTGTATTTATTCATCTGCTGTAAATAGTATGTGTTATGTAAAGAATATACATTTTCCACAAGCTTTTCTATTTCAAGCTCTTTATACATGGTTGGATTGTGTGGCATAAACCTTGTTTTATTATTTAATAAACTGAAATAATATATAACAATACGATGGCTCATGGTTATTTCAGAAACATAGACACCTTTAGACAAAGACAAGCTGCAGAGGGTCCAGAAGGCTGGGGGAGGAACTGTGTTTGTGAAAGCAGCCATGGGTACTTCTCTCTGCATGGAAAAGTTATCAGATCAACTTACTTGTATTTGTGAGATGGCAACCCCCCCCCCATCATTTTGTGAAGTACTCTAGGTTAGCTGAGGGGAGTGAACTTGGTCGCGAGGCTGGCTTGGTAAGGTGGGCTCAACATTCGCAACGCCAGTCACAACCCGCTGGTCCTGCATCCAGTGCTAGGTGCTGCTAGAAGCAGGAGCTTGGTTGGCTGGACCAGACAGGGACACTTGTTTCACAGCAAACAACAAAACTAAGTATAGATTTGGTTGGTCAGCTTTTTGGTTGCTTGAAAGGATTTTGCAGATGTCCATTTTCTTAACATTTGAGCTACATACAATGGTTCATTAAGAACTGGGTGAGAGAGGGGAGCTTTGCTAGTCAATGGATATATTTCTTAGAACATTTGGTTTGACAGGAAAGCTAGTACTCATGTTCCTGTACTTCCCCTCCACCATGCATCATCTGCATCCTGCACCAGAGCGGTGCACTTATTACAGCTGATGAACCTGCACTGGTACCCTGTGTTACCCGTGCCCATAGCTTATCATCATCTTAGGGTTCACTCTTGGTGTTGTACAGTATACATCACACACACACACACACACACACACGTTGCGGGAGGTCCTCCCGCTCCTCCAGCCTATAGCCGCTGAGATACCAGCCCATTGGGGCGTGGTCTCTCTCCCTTTAAAAAAGCGGCCACTTCCCTCTCCTCTCTCTCTTCACTTCCTGCTCTGCAGGCGACTAGACTCCCTTCCTGGTTGCGCAGAGGGCTGACGGTGATCTGTAAGTTTTTTCCCCTTTAAATAAATACCACCCTATTAATCATAATTCCAAACTGGTGTGGCATTGTTTATGACTTACGCCTTCAGTTGGCACCCAACGTTTGGTTTTAGGACCTCTCCTTTCCCCACTCGGCTGCCGGCCGTGAGTTCGGCTTGGCGGGAGCCCTCCCTTCCTCAGCCGCCGCCTGTGCCTTGCAGCTGCGGCCTTGGCCTCCCCACGTGGATTTAAACTCCACAGGCCCGCGTAGTTTCTGCCGCGTGGTTTGTTCTTTTCTGAGTCTTTTTTAAATCTCCCTTGCAAGCACAGCTCTTAAGCGGCACGAACCAGAGCACGTGCTTGCTGAAAGCTGCAACCCCTCAGGGTGACTCTGTCACGTGGAGGCATAAGCGGCTTCCAGGTTGCTCTTCTCTACCCCTGGATTCTGGGTTTCTGGTTCCGTCTCTGGAATTGATTTAATTACATTTACTTTGTTGAGCAACTTGCATTTTCCAGTTTTTAACAAACACTAGGTGGACTCTGAAACAGGACTCTGTTTTCGTCGTGACTTGGCAACAGCGCCACCTGCTGGATAATAGGTAATATGGCAGTTTTCGTTTCCAACGCGAATTTTACTGTTCTGGTTACCAATACAATGGGTTATATCATGCAAGGTTTATATGACTATGGGGATAACTTAATTTACTGGTTACTAGGTTTCAGTATTCTTTTGAATATTCTATCATTTAGGAAGATCATGGCACTCCTAAGAACCATACAATCTTTACTAGAAACTCATGCAGGTCAGGAGATTCAGGATTCAAAAGAGACAATAATAAAGACAATAATAAAAAGACTTGAAATGATTGAAGAAATGATTGGAGCTGGTGAACAGAATAATAAGGCACAAGGACAGGATACAATGCCAACACCAGCTATTAGAACTGGCTTACCCAAGGTTTTAGCGGCATACCCTATACTTAATTCTGACAAAGCGTCAACTTCTAAAGGCTCAAAGGGAGTCAGAGAAGCTAAATGGACGCCAATAACAATGAATGATCTGAAAGAAATTAAGCAAGCTATTGTTAATTTTGGCTTGCACTCTGCATACGTAAAGGAAATGATAAGGACTTGGGCTTCTAATGCTAGAGCTACCCCCCATGATTTCCATCAGTTAGTGTCTGCAGTTTTAGATAATGGACCTTCCTTGATGTTTGGAATTTATTTCAGAGAAGAATCCAAACATATGGAACAGCAAGGAAGAGCAAAAGGTGTCAAGGTTTCCCAAGATCAAATTCTTGGTGCAGGAGAATATGCTGATCCACAGGTCCAAGCTCTTTATGATGATGAAGTACTGTGTCTATGTCACCAAGCAGCTTTAAATGCTTGGAATAGGATACAAGATCCAGCAAAAAGGGTTGAATCATATACTAGAATTAGGCAGGGACCGAGAGAACCCTTTATTGACTTTTTGCAAAGATTAATTAAGGCTCTGGACATAGGGGTAACAGACCCAGAAGCTAGACGAATACTTCTTGAATCTCTAGCTTTTGAGAATGCAAACATAGAATGCAAAAAGTTAATTGGGCCTTTAAAGTCTAGATCAGCACCTATGGATGAATGGATTCAGCATACGATGAATGTTGAGACATTTAGCTATAACGATGAACCTTGGGTAGGAGGAGCGATTTCCACAGCAATGAGGAGACATCAAACTGCCAGGTGTTTTAATTGTGATAAATTAGGACATCTGAAAAGGGATTACAGGCACAGAATTTCTAGGAATATTATCTCCTCTGGGAATGACAAAAATAGGAGACCTAGGCCTTCAGGTATATGTAGGAGATGCGGTAAAGGCCGACATTGGTCCAACGAATGCTGGTCAACAACAGACAAACAAAGCAACCCGATACTGTTGGGAAACTCCTTGAGGGGCCTCTCGCAGGCCCCCAAGCCAACAGTGGCCCAGTCATTCCCAGTCACAGTGGAGAACGTGCCTCACCAAGAAAATTAAAAGCTCCAATTTCTGCTGTAAAAAGTAATACTGGTCTAAATGATGAAATACGTGTGGAGGATGAGTCAAAAAACCCAGTAGGACAGAGTAAACGTATATTTTGGCAGACTTCTATTAATGATCAAAGACCAAAGCTACTGTATAAATGGCACTTTTATTGAAGGCTTATTAGACACAGGTGCGGATGTAAGTATCATTACCCCAGAATCTTGGCATCCGAATTGGCCTCTTCAAGAGGTAGATGTTCAGTTCCTGGGAATTGGAACCCTATCTCATGTAAAACAAAGCGCAAGGTGGGTTGAATGCATAGGGCCCGAAGGGCAAATAAGAAGACTAAGGCCATATATAGCCAATATTGCCATAAATTTATGGGGCCGTGACCTGCTACAGCAATGGAATACCCAGATTAACATTCCTGTACTTCAAGGAACTCATAATTCTGGGAAGGATATGATGAGGTATTATGGAAAAAGGTCACCAGCCATTCAGGCTGTACAAGAACATACAGCAAATACCAAACCTTTAGAGGTACCAACAGCCCTACCTTTAAAATGGCTAACTGAGAAGCAAATATGGATCAAACAGTGGCCTCTAGCTGAAGATAAACTACAGGCATTGGAACAGCTGGTGCAAGAGCAACTAGATGCTCACCATATTGAAGAATCAACCAGCCCTTGGAATTCTCCTGTGTTTGTTGTAAAAAAGAAATCTGGTAAATGGAGAATGGTGACAGATCTAAGAGCTGTCAACAAAGTAATTCAACCTATGGGTCCACTACAATCTGGAATTCCTTTGCCTTCTCTGTTACCAAAAGGATGGCCTCGTATAGTTATTGATTTGAAAGATTGTTTTTTCACTATACCATTACAAGAAAAGAATAGAGAAAAATTTGCCTTCACAGTGCCTACTTATAATAATTCTCAGCCTAATAGGAGATATCAATGGACTTTCCTCCCACAGGGTATGCTCAATAGTCCTACATTGTGCCATATTTTGTAAGTAAGTCATTGGAAATAATTAGTAAACAATTCCCCAAGTCCATAATTTATCATTACATGGATGACATCTTGTTATCTGATTCAAATAAAGATACTTTAGAAAGGATGTTTGAAGAAGTGAAGTCTTTCCTAGGTGGGGATTACAAATTGCCCCTGAAAAGATTCAAAGAGGAAATTCTATTAATTACCTAGATTACAGAATAGGGTTAGAGAAAATTAAAATGCAAAAGGCACAAATTAGGAGAGACCGGTTAAAGACTCTTAATGACTTCCAAAGATTGTTAGGAGACATTTCCAGTCTACGACCAGCTGTTGGGATAACACCTGATCTAATAGTTCATTTAAACAAAACCTTAGATGGTGATAAAGATTTGAATAGTCCAAGAAAACTGACAGCTGAAGCAGAAAAGGAACTGACAATGATTGAGGAAAAATTACAGGAGGCACATGTGGATAGGGTGAACCCAAATCTTAGCTGCATCCTAGTCATATTGCCTTCCAGAATTTCTCCTACCGGAGTTCTAATGCAGAGGGAAGATATTATTTTAGAGTGGATATTTATACCTAATAAACCAAGTAAAAAATTAAAAACGTATGTGGAAAAAGTCTCTGAATTCATTATAAAAGGTAAGCTGAGACTTCATCAACTAGCAGGTATAGACCCAGCAGAAATTATGGTGCCTTTTACTACTGAAGAAATAAAAAAGTTATGGGAAGACAATGAACTGTGGCAAAGAGCTTGTGCTAATTTTTTGGGAGAAATTAATAGCAACTATCCCAAAAGTGGTAGACTTAACCTTATAGAAAGAACTTCTTGGATTCTTCCTAGAATTGTACGTGATGCTCCAATAACTGGAGGCCGTACGTTCTATACTGATGCAAATAAATCAGGGAAAGCAGGTTACAAGTCAGATGAATTGAGTAAGGTGGAACAAAGCCCTTATAATTCTGTCCAGAAGGCAGAATTATATGCCATTCTTATGGTGCTAAGGGATTTTAAAGAACCTCTTAATATAGTTACAGATTCACAATATGCAGAAAGAGTTATCTTGTATATTGAAACCGCTGAATTTATACTAGATGACACAGAGTTGACTT